ATTGCTTTAAGTACTGCGACAATAACATTCAGAGGCGAATTTAGAAAGTTTAGATAAAAAGTATTTATTAAAGTTTTCATAGGTTTGTTTTAACGCCAGTTTGTGTTACCTAACTATGTAACTTAATTTATTCTAATTAAAGAGAGAAACAGGTTGACCAATAACAAGACCTTAAAATGTTTGCTATAGATCTACTACAATGTACGTTAATATGTAATACATTTAAATCAATTTAGATCAGTCTTAATGATGTGTTTTTAAACAGCAGAAATGGATTTAGGGTGGGGGAGGGTGTGGGGAGTGGTGAAAAAAAAAGAAAAAAAGAGAAATTGATCGCCCAAACGCATAAGGTTATTTTCTGGCGTCAGCAACTAAAGAACATAGGGCCTAGGCTATTTAATATTATGATGTAGCTGGGCATGTATTTTATGGTGATAGATTAATTAAACGAAGATTAACATTGTTCTGTGTATATAATTTGAATTTCTTCAGTTTCAAACGAACGGCCCCTGATTTTCCTGTAATTTTTGCAGTATTTCAAATAAATATGTACCCATATAACTGTCTTCTAATCGGATTAAAATCTGGCCGAATTTTGGCCGATATTGAAAAAAGTTTGGCCGAATTTGGCCGTGAGATGGCGTGTGTTTGGCCGTGAAGCCTGTCGACTATCTGGCAACCCTGATGCGAAGTTTGATTTTTCTGTACATCGGTTGTTCTGTGTACAACGATTTTTTTTTCTATTTTGGGTGTTTATTATATGCATTGTAAGAAAACATGCGAATAAAGATTATTGAAGTGAACTGAACAGTGCTCCATATTGAAAATGCATAACGGTAGGTTTTCTCTAGGATTGATATTAAATCACTCACTGTACTAACAAACCTATCAACATAAAATTATATTCCTCCGATCCGAATAACGACGTCCATGCTCAAGATCTTTGATGCAGGCGCATCTTTGAACTATTATGGAACGTCAAGACCTGCTTTAACAGGTTTTTGAATTACAAGGTCAGTAATGAAGAATTACCTCAGGATATGATGATGATGATGATGATGATGGTGGTGATGATGATGGTGGTGATGATGATGATGATGAATCTAATGAGGTAAAGAGCAGCTTGTGATGAGATTAACAAGATTTCTTGTTTCTGCAATATGGGACTTGTACCTCTGTAAGGGTCATTTGGTGAGTATATATTGGGGTTACTGATCTCATTCACAAAATTGAGACTGTTTAAATGCTTGACATTGATCCTACGCCAGGATTTTTACTATATAAAAGTATTTAAAAAAAAGAAAAAGAAAGAATAATTGGATTGGCCATGTTTTAAAGGGCGAGAGCTTGTTGAAAGGAGTAATAGAGGGACGAATGGATGGTAAAAGACCAAGAGGAAGCAAGAGGGTAAGGATGATAGACGATTCAAAGTATAAGATGCCTTATGTGGAAACGAAGAGAAGAGGACAAATGCCAGTGGAGGAGTTGGTAGCCAAGGACCATCCTGACGGCAGAACACTAACGAAGAAGAAAAGTATAACTACAGTACCTGTGCATATTCATTTTAAAACATTTGGAATAAAACATAAAATTCCAATTTTATTTCTAAATAGAGGCATGAAAATACCACTTTTAGTGCCGGTAATTAGAGGATTTCGAATGAGAGAGCTGCTATAAATACAGAACACTAAAGCCCTAGCCCCAAAGTGGTCCTTAATTAGAGGGAGACGTGCAACAATACTGGAGATTCCTTTTTCCTAAACTGAGTGTTTGGAAAAACCCAACATTCATCCGGAAGTCACGATGTAGGCCTATGTGATTCTATCCAATCAGCACATCTATACAGACGTGTAAGAGCATAAGACATTACTCATACGTTTCGGTCGACAAAGTCACTTGGTTTCATGAAATTGTATTGCCGAAAAGGCATCAAATTAGTGCTAAAACCCTAATCAAGTTAAAATCAACGATATTTGGCTCATAGTTAAGAGAGATTCCTAAGGTAGGCAAAATTCTTTAGTGATGGTAAAAAATGAACATAATACCAGCCTGTCACTTAATTATTTATAGATTATTTTGCTGCATCTGTACCAATTGTTTATTACAGAGATACTGACATGGCGTACAACCGTGGATATTCATTTGAGGGGAAAGTTGGCAACTACTTGAGAGATAGATACGGCAGTTCGAATGTCCAGTCACAAGTATCAATGAATGGAAGCTATGCTGACTTTGTTGTGAATATTGGCTGTTGGCCATGTAATGAAACGCTTGTATGGGAAGCAAAGTCTTCAGAGAAGATCGTTAAAGAATACGTATTCCAGGCAGCGAGAATTGCTAAAGGATATGGGAAAGCTATCCTTGCAATTGGGCGGAGTGCAAACGTTTCTGAAACCGTATACCTACACGCACGCGATAGTAATGTTAAGATAGAACGCATGTATTTTGATTACTAGTTCGCTGTGAATTGTATTAATCACTTATTGTGGGACAAGGGTTTAATAGGCCTAATACGTATTTGAATCCTATATGTAAGCCCTAAAGCTAGAATAAGAGAGTGACATAAATTAATAACCAAAATACGTAACTTGTATAGGCCTACAATAAAGGGGACGCCGAACATTTCTGAGTGTGCCAAATGTTCAGATCGATCCCTATTTAACCACTGTTATTTTTGTGATCTTTTACAACAAATACAATGAACTTATTTCTTTTCCTGCAAACTATTATTTTGAAGACTATTGAGTCATAAACTTAATATGAAACCAGAATTTCATTTCCCATATTTTATTTAGTTAAATGACATTTTTTGGAGACACTTCTGGATTTTGATTCATAAAAATGGATATCAGACTAATTAAATGGTCAGGTCTTCAGAATTTCCAGTTAAGTTTTGTTTTACGTCCGAAGTGAATTTGATGGAATTCTTCGTGTCACTTCGGCAAGTTTGGCCCTTTGCCATGGATTTACTTTAATACATAAATATAAATCCATAACCTGCACCCTGCCATTAATATTAATGTACTCATTTAGACTTACTTTTATATATTCATTCTAACCTGTGCATCCAATAGTAAATTCTATTGTTAAAAAGAATTGTTTATTGGTAGCACATAACTCATCAAGTTCCGTGGTTATAACAAAATATAGGCCTATGTTGACTTTACATCAAATATAGGCCTATTTTGTTTTCAATAAAATCTTCTAAAAATTAGTTTTATTCTATTCTTATTCCATCTTGGATTGATTAAACTAAAATAATGAAGGATCTATGTCATCATTTTAAAGTCCCCAGAATATAATTTAACCTTTTTCAGTTACTGTTTCCCAAATATAGTAGATATGTACTCTTATGTAGGAGACATACCTACATAAAGGGTCATTTTGTTGAATCGGAAGGTGACCCCAGTGGTAATACTGTACTCAGAAAGACGATAAAACACTGAATGATTGATGACTGCCAGTGACTAAGGGAAGCAATTTCCCCCAAAATTATAATTTAATCTTAAAAACGAAAAGGACTTGGTTGGTTAATCAGTTGGTAGGTTGAGGGCGTCAGTGTAATGCCAACGAGATGCGGATGGATAAGTTTTAGCAGATGAAGCGTGAAGATTTCCATTACTGTTGTCCGATGTTCAGTTTTAGTAAAAGAATAATTATGTGAAATCTGTTATATTGCCATTGTTTCATTCCTAATTTAAACAATATGAAATCTATCTTGACCTATACTACTGAGATTGGAAGGTGTATTTTAACCAAAGCATCCATAGCTTCACTTAATCTGTACAGAGTTAAATATTAATATTCATAATGATAATTATAACAACACTAATGTTATATTAATATTGGTAATAATAATAATTATTATTAATATAAGTCATAATTGTTTACCTTTACTTGGTACATATAATTATACACTTTTAAAGCCACTAGGTGGCTGTGATAAGTATTTTTTATAAAATTAATAAGACATTCGTTATGGACTTGACTTCGTTATGTACGGTATACATTATTTACAGTAAACCTTTCATTGTGGATTTTCAATATTGGACGATTTTCACAACGATTTTTAAAAATATAAATGTCCGTTTATTATTATTATTATTATAATTATTATTATTATTATTATTATTATTATTATTATTATTATTATTATTATTATATAACACTACTAGGACTATTAAAAAAAAATTCGTTTATAACAAGTATTCTGTTAATGATTTTAAAGAAAAATAATGCATTTTTTTTTTCAATTGAGTGATTATATCATTTTGGAAAAACCCAAACATTCTTTCGGAAGACGCGTATTTGATTTTACCCAATCAGCATATCCTTACGTATCATAACGCCCTTAAAAATCATTACTCAATGTTCGATTCGACAAAGCTACATTGCATTTGGTTACGTGTGCTTTGACAAGCAATAACGCCGAAAGCTCAACAGTAAAGAAGATATTCCGTTTAAAGACTCGAAGGAGAGAGTATTTAAAGGTAGGCAGATGCTTTGGTGATTGACCAGTCATTGGATAATTCCATACAATTCTTTCTTTATAATTATCCTACCAATTAAGAAGGCTCTGATTATATTTGTATTTTAACTTGCGTTTACATTATAGCATTTGCTTATCAATTTCGTATCTCTACAGAGATCATCCAGCCATCGTTTCCCACATTATTGATGTTTACTAGTATTTTGCCTTTCACTATATATA